GTATATTTTCAGTCATTATCATTTAACATAAAAATAATTAACAGACTGACCTGGTACAGAGAAAAAGGCTCGGAAAACCGGAAGATCGTTAGTGTGGTTACCACAAGGAACAAAATATGAGCTTTTATTTTTATTCATATTTTTTTAATTATTACTAAAAAAATCTTTAAAAAAAATAAAAATAATTATTCAAGTGTTCCACAGGTGATCAACAATGCCTAATTAAGTAGACATGCACATTCGTTATTTTTTCAACTATGAAAACACACACACACACACACACACACACACACATGCACATAAAAGCAGAAACCAACAAAAGCATGGTATGTTTTTTTCACCAGCACACAACCCTCAAACTATTACTATATTCTAGTGCAACTTGCTAACAATCACAAGAGAAAATGCAAACAAATGCATACATATGTCCACTAATGCATTGAACGGCTTCAGTTTTGGTTTAAAACAAAAATAGAACGTGAATCTCCTCATATTGAGGATGCAAGTCCAATTTGATCCCAAATTTTGTCATTTTGTAAGAAACTAAAATAATAAATGCAGTTTTGTGGCTCTTTGATGTGTTGTGACAGTTTTCTGTAGTGCCACAGTTCAAGCTTCACGTGAACTGATCATCTCTTTATCTTTACTAGTTATAGCGTGAAATAAACATGAATGAACATCAGAGAGTATCTTGTTTCATCTGCGGAAAGACGTCAGTACACAGTTTTTCAAGTCCACACTGTAAAAAATGACCGTGAATTTAATGGTAAAAGACTGTAAAAATGCTACAGTAAAATCCTGTTAAATGATTAACGGTAAATTCCCCTACTATATACAGTGAAAAACTGTATTGAACATTACATGTATTGGACATTAATTTTACGGTAGTATACCGTTTTTGGAAGTGAAAAAGACTGTATAATTTACAGTGAATAACCGTAAATTGACATTCCCAGAATGAACTGCGTTACATTTCAAATTTGATGTTTTTTTTGTTGAAATAACTGTTTCTTCTTAGTTTTTTCTTATCAGTTTTGTATATTAGGGTTGTGTGTTACACCTAATGTTGTTAAATTAATGTTTATTGCATTATTTCAATTTCATGTTTGTTACCATGATGGTGTTTGGTGTTAGTGTGAATGACACTGTGCGCCTTCTATATATGTTATTATTTAAAAGCTGCTTGTGATGGGTTAAAACCGTAAAACCTAAAAGGTTGCTACCATATTTTTTACGGTAAAATTACGGCAACCACAGCTACCGTTTTTTTACCGTAAATTTTAAGGAATTTTTTTACAGTGCACCGATGTTAATCTACTCCCCTGTCTAGTTTGTTTGTCGGGTTATGATTGGTCAGATCGCATTGCAATCAAGCTCCCTGCGAAGGGTCAATTAGCCAAACAGGTCTATCTATCTATCAAGACAAATGGATGTGAATATATTAAATTTCAAAGACATTCTGAGATCAATACATCAGACCAGAGCTTTTTAAATAAATAAATAGTAAATTATCATATTAAATCATTTATGCGTAATCTAATATCATGAGAATGGTTGCGTGAATGCAATCAAAAAGTAGGCTATTCCTGAGAAACGTCTCAGGTTACTTATGTAACCATGGTTCCCTGAGTAGGGAACGAGACACTGCGTCCTCTAGGGGTCGCTATGGGGGACGCCTTGTCGTGACCGTGTCTGAAGCATACATTGAAAAAACACCAACTTGTTGGCCGGCGACAGCCATGACGTCACTACCGGTGCGACTATAGTATAAATAGGCGCCGGGAGCACACATCATTCACTTCTTCGTCTGAAGCTTGCGTCCGCAGCATGGCAAGAGACCTAGAGGACGCAGTGTCTCATTCCCTACTCAGGGAACCATGGTTACATAAGTAACCTGAGACATTCCCTTTCCTCGGAGACATCGCGTGCGTGCTCTTTGCCAAAACAAACAGCGCATAGATCGTCATCAGATGTTAAACAACGTCAACATGGATGCACACATCCTTAAATTCTTTGCTAGTGCTCGCCATAATGAGATAAATAGAGATCGCTCTTACCACAGAAATGCACGCTTCAAACAAAACAGTCAATGAAGACGAAGAAGAGAATGATGTGTGCTCCCGGCGCCTATTTATACTATAGTCGCACCGGTAGTGACGTCATGGCTGTCACCGGCCAACAAGTTGGTGTTTTTTCAATGTATGCTTCAGACGGGTCACGACGAGGCGTCCCCCATAGCGACCCCTAGAGGACGCAGTTCGAAGTTCCCATGAAAGGGAACACACATTTACTTAACCCTTCTCAGGCAAAACACCTATATGATTAAACCCTTTACAGAAATCATAAATGTGACTATACCAAACAATGTCAGCAATTAATGCAGATCTGCCCCTGTACCTGCAAACATATGGTCTCTGCGGTGACTGTTTGTGTGGATTCAGGCAGCAGCAGCTGTAGGAACAGGCCCTGATAGTGCGAGACACAGAAACAGCCTGTGAGGGTGAGAACTCACTGATATATATGACAGCCATTTTACTGTTGAAGCGAAGAGCACAGCTGTGTCTGACTGTGTGCGCTCAGATAACTCCAGCGAAGCAGCGATGACAAGAGTAGAATGCTGTGTGAGATTCTGCGATTTAAGCTTATATCAGATAGAACTGTCTCCAGATTTCATTTGAAATCAAACGGCTTTGTATCTGAACATCTGTATCAGTCAATATAAGTTTTACAGAGGAATTATATCATGAATTTACAGGAAATGCATTCAAGCAGTGTCACACCATCCTGGGCAATCGAGTGATATCGCTAAGAGTTCAATAAACAAGTGACTTACATTGTAGATACAATATTGCAGTGTCTTTGTTAAAGGGGTCCTATTATGCTTTTTCACTTTTTTAATTTTAGTCAGTGTGTAATGTGTATGTTTGGGCATAAAAAAGATCTAGAAAGTTACAAATCTCAAAGTCCACTCCAAAGGGAGATATTTCGTTTTTTTTAAATCCCTTTTCAAGAACTACAACGAACGGCTCGTTTGGACTACAGCGTTGGTTTCCGGGCTTTGTGATATCACAAAGCGGCTCATTGGAATATCATTACAAATAATTCCCGCCTACAGAAATTCGAATGGTTGGGGGGTGGGGAGGGGCGAGGTTGTGGTTAGAACGCTTGGTTGAGTGAGTGCATCAGACGAGACAATGAAGAAGAAGTGCTGCTGCAGAGTTAGTGCATCAGAGAAAACGAAGAAGAATAGCTGCAGTGCTGTAGTGTCAAATTTTCGGCATGTCTAGAACAATTCTTACAAGTATAACATGACGTAGCTGGGTGCCACGGATAGACGCCGAACGGCGCCGCCGGTGTGCCTACACTCATAGAAAATAAAGTATTTGAATTTTAAAGACGTGGCACGACGCGACGCGACACTGCGCTTCTCATCCGGTGTGCGACCGCCTGAAACGCTGTTTTTTTCACCTCCGTGCCCAAATGTCTTTGTTTGGGCTTCCGAAAGCAGATGATGTCAGGAAACAGTGGTTGCAATTTATTTTTTAACTCTGTTCCTGAGCATTATAACCCCAATTTGCTATTGTGTGCTGCGCATTTTACTGAGGACAGCTTCCACAACA